CCTTATGATGCAATAAGATTGCAGATATTATTTCAATTATTTTATATTTATTTAAGTATACTTTATGGCCTCATACAGTATATTTTGGACACATTGATGAGCTGCTGAGAAGAAAGAGAATTCTGCTGTTGTTGGATGAAACACTCTGTAGATATTTGTTAAGTTCCTTTGTTTGATGGTATGCATCAACTCTGATATTTCTTTGTTGAATTTTTTTTCTGATTGACCCATCCCTATGAGTATTGAAATTCCTCACTATCATTGTATTGGTTTCTATCTATCTTTTTACATGTCAAGTAGTATTTGTTTGATAAAAGTGGTATACTGATATTTTGGACATACAATTATACCTTCTATCCCCTTTCTGTTGCATTATTCCCCTGTTTAATTAAAATAGCTATTGGCATCTTCTTTAAGTTGTTAATCATCCTTTATCAGCCTAGCTATTTACACCCTCTTTGAGCTAATTGAACATATTATACATTTGCTTTTCTTCTTTGATCACATTAATTTTATTAACTAGTGTTTTTTATTTATTTACCTGGAATTTCTTCCATTTCAATGCCCATGAGATCAGATTATGGGAGTTAAGATTTTTTTAGTATCTTGTTACCTTCTTTCTCATATTTCCAGTGCTTTCTTGTTGAGGGCTGAATATCATTTAGTGCTACTATGGAGATCTCTCTAGTTTAGTGTGTATTTTCTTGTGATGTGACTTTGGCTGGTGATATTTTGGTGTTTATGTACATATGCAACCTACTCAATATCAGGATCAGTTCCAACCACTCTGTTACAAAGAGAGAACAACATCCTCAGAACAAACCACATATCAACATATAATCTAAAACTTAAGAATTTCTCTTTTTCCACAACCCAGGAAGACAATAAAATAGTACTGATGAAGAGTATTCTAAGATGTGGAGGATGAAGGGGAAGAAATGAAGAAAATAGTTCAAAAAGAAGGAAAAAGGAAATGAGCAAATGAAAGGAAGATGGCATTATTTTCATATGTAGGATGGAGAAAAAAAGGTGAGATGGAATGAAAAGTCATTTTAAAAGGGAGGAAAAAGAAAAGGGTATATACATACCCTATATCTATCTATCTATCTATCTATCTATCTATCTATCTATCTATCTATGTATCTATCTATCAATTGATCTATGTGGAGGTTAAAGGAAGCTACGAGAAGGTTGCAAACAATTAATATGAAGGTAGAAAAACTTGCATTTGAATCATTCATGCAATCATTCATGGTGAGAGTTTAACCTGAACTTGACATGTCAATGAAAGATATTATATAAAATAAAGACATAAGTAATTTTATTCACAATTTCATATATGTAAAGAACTCATTATATATTCTAAGATGGGGAAATGAAAGACAAAAAAGGGAGAAAGGAAAAACAAAAATATAAAAAATCTTTGTGTTGAATGAATTTGTGTCACACAGCAGCAGGGGAGATGGAAGGAGGATTCAAGAAGGTGTGAGAGGAAAAATAAGTAAATCACAGGGGGAAGAAACTTAAATAAGGTGTAGTAGAGGGTACAGGGAGTTTCTGTCCAATTTATGACCAAACCTGAAAACTAATACAATGAATACCATGAAAAATTTGGTGTGAGAGAAATCGATATCATCAAATAAGGAGAAATAGAGATAAAAGCATTTACTCTTAGTCGTGCAACCTTGCTAGCACAATGTTGACACCCTAATTCTTACTAAAAGCAAGAGAAGATGGAATAAAAAAATCAAACGAAAAAAGGAATAAAAATATAATGTGTTGATAGCACTTATATATGAAAAAAGAGAGGGGACAGAGGTTTGAGAGGGATTGAGGGGAGAAGTGAAAAGAAAGAGAGCAAGGAATTGAAAGGTAACACGATGGGGCATAAGGAAGATTCAGATTAATTTATGGCTAAACCAAATAGCTCATCTATGAAACACCCCTTGGCATGAGAAAACAGAGTGTAGTTTGGTAAGAGCAATAGTTCAGATTCCTACCTCTTACTAGCACAGAACAAGTCCTGCTACTCCCTTCTTCTAATATCAATACTAAAGGAAAGGAAACATGCACACCTCTGCAAAATTAAAGGAACCTCTCAGTGTTTTTTTTTTCTTTTTTTTTTTTTAATAGTCAGAATTCCACCAGGATATTCTTCCTTCTTAGATTAAGAATAAAAACAGACTTTGACTTGAAACGCTTAAGGGGCAGACCTCTCTTCTGAAATGTCCAGCATCCCAATTCCTCCAGACTCACCTGAGACGCACTTGGCTAGAGGCCAGCCAGTGTGTTATAGCTGACCTCAACAAGGTCGGAGCTACTTCCTTTTGAAGCAACCACTACCTCCCCCAGACTCACTTACTTGACTGGCATGGTTCAAAGAAAAAGAAGAGAGAAAAGGGGAAGGGGCTTAACAGGATTGAAAATGGTCAAGATACGTTGTATACATGATGTGTATGTATCAGTTCCCCAAAAGGAACATCACGATTCTGTATTGCACATATACTAAAAAAAAACCAAAAAAAAAAAAAAAAAAAAAAAAAGCCTCAGAAAATTGTTCCTTGTAATTCCGTACATGGCCAGGAAGGGGCAGTACTGCCTCTCTTGCAAGTATTCATCCACTACCAGAGGTTATCATTTAAAAATATGTAAATTATTCTCTCCTACTTCAATTTATTTAGATGTCAAACAAACATCTATCTCCATGCTGATCCATCTATCTAAACAGTGTTTGTTGGGCCGGGGATTTAGCTCAGCGGTTTGGTGGCCTGCCTCGCAAGCGCAAGGACCCGAAACTAAACAGTGTCTGTTTATCCTATTATAGGGTTGGAAAATATGATGGAACAATTCTCTGAAGACACAGGTTATCTGTGAAGGTCAGGGCCACATTAATTATCCTAATATGATTTTACTCTGTCCTCACCCACACACATTTCAATCACCAGCCCCACTTATTTAATATTCTAGGATTCCCTTCCCTCTTCTTTTTACTAACAAATCTACTCACACTCTAAGGCTCAGTTCAAGCACCATTACGACGGGACCCTCTCTAATGGGTCAAGAAGCAGAGTTCACATCTCTCCCTTGCTCTTCTTACCTAGGCATTCACATCTCTGGTAGACGTCATCTTGCCGTGCATGAGTACTGGGACTGGGTTGGAGATTGGGACTATGCCTTTTACGAATGAGGCTCAAGTACTGCCCACCTGGCAAAAAATTAAGGAACACTTACTACATTGGCGGCAGTCCCTCCTTATTTGCGTGCTCATTTTCTTGGTACTGCTGCAGCCAGTCATGGTCTGAAAATATTAAATGAAATAATTGGCTAAATTAGAATTGCACACTGCTCTGAGTAGTGTGATAAAATCTTTTGCCCTCTTGTTCCACCCCAGCCTGAACACGAATCATTACTTTGTCCAGGGTATTCATGCCGTGTGCTAGCTGCTGATTTCTCACTCAGTAGCTGTTGTCTTGTTAGCAAAGTGACTGTCAAGGTGTCACAGTGCTTGTGCGTAAATAATCCTTGTTTTATTTAATAAGACCCCCAAAAGGCAAAAGTGGGGGATTTTAGCTGCTAACAAGGTGGAAATGACAAAGAGGAGATGCAAAGTGCTTTTATTAAATCAAAAATGATAGTTTATTATAGTACATAAGTATAGGAAAACACACATTATAAATAGAGTTTGGTGCTGTTTGTGGTTTCAGACATTCACTGGGGCTCTGGGAATGTATCCAGGACAGATAAAGGGGAAATATTTTGTGTCAAATGCATATCCAGATCAATAAATAAATGAAAAAAGAAATGCAGAAAACTTAAATTAGCAATACTATCCACCCCCAGTTCATTAAAATGGAATGGTTTTGATAGAAATGAAGGAACGTGGACCATTGATTCTGCTGGACTGTGATGGATTTGGATTGAACTGACTGGATTGGAGATTACATCAAATATAGATATAACAAAATTCTCTCTGCACTCCAAAAAAAAAAAAAGAATTTCTTCCCTATGTTCCTTTAACTTTTATTATTTATAATACAGAACATCACTGCTTTTAGGTGTGCTTTGGAATTTGTTCTCAATATCTGCCTGTATGTTCTGCTAGTACAAATACTTAAATCAAAAGCACATCTTAATTTTTTTCACATTTTATCCCTGAGATAAAAAGTGAAGAAAAGATTTCATGTTTATTGAAGCTTAGTCTGAGATTTACCAACAGTGCTGCATCTCTTGTTGACCAAACCTCATATCTTTTGAAATTTAACAAATTGTTCTTCCTTTCTTACCCACCAGCAGATCAAATCTCCTCCAGAATCAATAATTCCAGGCCTTCCAAAATTCTTTTCTCCAGTTACATTGTTAGAAACATTTAATTTACCTGATGTATAATTTATAAGAAATATAAAGTATTGATTTCATTTCCTATTATCACTTCTTAGTGTAATTTGGAATATGAACACAACTGAAAGACTGTAATAAAACTGAAGTCACTGAGGAAAAAGGAACCACATATTTTCTGTGCTCTAATCCATGAACGTAGATTGTAACCCATTGTGTGTCCTTAGTAAACTTTGTTAATGTCTGCAATAAAGAAGAAATGCTGCTATTTGTGCTGATTTGCAAACTTCATGGGATTTTCTCTCTTCCACCATTGTAAAACAAGTGACTATTACTGACATACCCAGGTGTGTTACAGAATGATTTTTTTTAATGTCCTAGGAAAACAAAGAAAGGGAGTAGCAGAAGTTTGAATCTGATTCTTATTAATGTATAATGAGGGAATTTCTGAGTCTAAATGACTGTACTTTTTTAACACTTTAAATTTTGGATTAAATGGGAAAGAGCTTCCTTTCCCAGAAACAGCTTCAAGCAGTCAAGCACTTGTGAAAGGGTGGAGTCACTTGAAAAAATTACGGCAGATGCGAGTTTGAAGTCAGAGCTCCAGGTGTCTGGGGAGAGCAGAAGACCATCTGGGTTTGCACTGAGCCTTGGCTTCAGGGGGCATGGACAAGATCTCGAGAGCATCATTTTTAATTCTAGGACTTCACCTGGCATGTAAGTTGTACAGGAGAAACTCCAGGATATATTATTCAATTGGGGAAATGAGAACACTGGAGAACAGACAAAAATTGTGAAGGCAGAAACTTTAAAGGGAGGATGCAAAATTTATGGCCTGTGACTTTTTTATCTTTCTAAGCAGGGGTGAGCAGCCAACAGAAGGAGAAAAGTGGCCAGCAGCAGGTGAAGCAAAGTCCTTGGTCTCTGACTGTCCAGGAAGGAGAGATTTCAATTCTGAACTGTACGTATGAAGACAGTTCATTTTACTACTTCCCCTGGTACCGGCAATTCCCTGGAAAAGGTCCTGAATTACTGATAGACATACATGAAAATGTGAATAAAAAGAATGACAGAAGATTCACAGTCTACTTCAGTAAAGGTGCCAAAGAGCTCTCCCTACATATCAGGAAGACCCAGCCTGGAGACTCAGCCACCTACTTCTGTGCAGCGAGCACACAGTGCTCTCCAGGCACCTGCAGCCTGTGCCCAAATTGCATGTGGGGCTCCTGAGGAGCCCTACTCATGATTTAGGCTGGGATAAATGCAAACCAGCTTCATTTTCACAAATAGGCGCCACTGTAAGTGTGCAAATTCACTGTGTGGCAATATGGGAAAATTATTATTAAAGTAAGTAAAAGTAATTTAGTTTCATCAGTAACCAAACTGTGTAGCAGTTAAAATGTTTGAGATTTGTACAAGGCACCCAATTAATTGTGGGGCAAATAGGACTTTTATACATTTCTGATGGAATGCTAAGTGGTGTTATCTCACTTGAAAGTCATTTGGCAGTTTCTTGTGAAATGATTTTACCATATGATTAGAAATTCAAAATTTGCCCAAGATAAATCAAAACACGTTTCTACACAAGGACTTTTGTTTATAGCACTCCCATCCATAATAACCCCATACTACAAGCTGGAAATACCCCAAATGTCCGTTACCTGATGAATAGAGTTATAAATCATAGCATTTTCCTCTAAAGTCACACTACAGTTCAATAAAATGGGTTTGACTAATGATATAATCTAAATAAAAACCCTCTATACTTTATTGAGAGAATGGATAGATGTATATAGTATGCTCATGCAATGGAAAATAATTCAGTAATCAGAAGAGTGGTCTCCAATATAAGCAATTTAAATGGATCTCAAAAGCACTGTGCTGAGTCAAATAAGTCAACTTCATTGATTACATAATGCATGATTCTGCTTACATATCATGCTCAAATTAGCAACATTGAAGAAAAAGTCAACAGAGGTCAGGAATTAAGAGTTGGGAAGAGGTGCACATGAAGGATTTGTGTAGGATGAACAGTTCATTGTCATGATTGCAATGGTGGTTATATATGTGTGACAAATGTTAATGAAATTACACACATGTGCACACACATGCACACACACACATCCTAGAGTGCATATGAAAATGTGTGAGTTCGAGTAAGGTTGGTACTTTAATCAGCAGCATTATATAAGAGTATTATTATATGAGTATTTGAGCAATATTGTGTCACTAACCTGGTTTTGATAATCCTACATAAAGACGATGATACATAGAATAATGTAACATATTGTTGGTAGAGAAAGCTAAATGTTCAGGAGAACTTTACATTGTGGTATCTTCTGTGTGAGTGTAACATTATTTCCAAATAAAACATATGCATGTGAAACAATTTGACTTTTAAACAATGCTGGTTGTAATGTAAAGTGGGTACTCACTCCAGGACATTCTTATAAAACCAACCATGTACTTTCTGTGACTGGATGACTGCACCTCTAGCCATTTATGCAAGGAACATGAAAATATGTGTCCAATGAAAATATCACGGGTGGCCTGCCTTGCAAGTGCAAGGACCCGAGTTCAATCCCAGGTACCAAAATATATATATATATATCACATAAGAAGGTTCATAAGATTTTTATTTGTAATATAAAAGAAACTAGAGAAAACTCCTGCAAACAACAAATTAAAATCACTTGTGCTATAAACATTCAATGGAATATTAATCAGCTAGAAAAAGGATCGAACCACTAACATAACACAAATAAACCCCAAGCACATTATGCCTGGCAAAAGTGCCAGACATAAGTGGTATATGTTATTTGATTCCATTTATATAAAATTAAAATAGGCAATCTAATGCATGGTGAAGCAAATCAGCAGAGTAGATACATAAGTGCTCTGGGAGCTGTGTGATTGGGCAAAAGGGGCTGTGATGGAGTGAAGGAAGAGAACATTCTATCTATTGAGAGGAGAGTGGCTTACAAATTTGAAGCTTTCAAATCTACTCTAACTCTATATTTATTGTCATTTATTTTTACTGTAACTTATATTTCCATAAAAATATATATAAGTACATAAATGAACTGAAAAGGAAAAAAAGCAACAAAAGGGGGAACCCAATGCTGAATTTTAATGAATATTTTAATTTTAATGAATAAAACTATTTAGTAATGCTGATGGTGAAAAGACTAGAGAATAGTCAAATTTCATGGTAGCCACTGGCTCCTAAAATGTGTCATAATCCTGAGAGTTTATGAAATGGCACTCTCTGTGTCATCTTAGTTTCATGGGGCTGCTATAACAGTGAACCCGAGACTGACTGACTAAGACAAATAGAAATTTATTTTCTCACAGCTTTGTAGGCCAGCCACCTGAAATCAAAGTTGGCAGCTCTGTTCCTATAAGGATCTAAAGAAGATGTATTTCAATCCTCTTCCCATTCTGTTAGTCTGAGGAGAGATGACTGTTCTCACTCTGCTTTCTCCTGTAATCTTCCCTCTCTATCTTCCCCTCTTGTCACATAACATTAATTTTATTATTAAACCCAGTCATATTGGACAAGAGGCCAAGCCTATTTTAGCACGACTTAATCTTAACTAATTATGTCTGTGATAACCCTATTTCTACAGAAAATCATATTCAATTTATTAGGACTTCGATATGTGTTTGAGGAGACACAATTCCACAAAATAGCTTTTGAGAAAAGGAACATTGCCGGTGGATTAATAGAAAAGCTTGTGGTGGAAAATTCACTACTGATTGTCCAAGTAGACCTAAACCAGTGGTGGCAAACCTATGGCATATGTGCTATTTGTTTTTCTTTTAAGGCAAAAGATGGCAACATAAGTGCTGTTTTTCTAAACCAAACTAAAACCCTAATATTCAAATTTAATTGCAGTGTTGGCACTTTGTGGTAAGTGTGTTGCAGTTTGTGTACTCATCTCTAAAAGGTTTGCTGTCATTCATCATCAGCATCATTAGAAGAGTGAGATATTAGAATGAAAAAAGTGATGTGATGTGAAAATGAGGAAAGCCTCCCTAAAAACTCAAAAGATAAGAAAATATATTATCCCCTATATAGTGAATCTGTGTTGAACTTGTGACCTCCAGGATTTTAAGAGCACAAGTATATGCCAACAAGTTTGTGGCAAATTCTTACAACAACAATAAAAATCTAGTAAACAATGTGAAATACTGAAAATAAAATACATCGACAGTAGAAATTAAACATTTACCAAGAAATTTATGTATTATTAGGACAAGTACATTTTAAAATTCTTAAGAAATAGTTTGATGAAAAATATATACTATCAAACATAGCTTAAAAACAGAAAAACTGAATAGATTTTTATCTTTAAAGTTTTTTATAATTAAAATATTGATTATTTATAACAGAAAGTTAGCTTTTCATCTGTATTTAACCACTAACAAGCCATTGAAGGACGTGTTTCAAAAATCATCCCAAATAAAAACAGGCATATAAAATCCAATTCAAAGACAGATAAATGGTCAGTGGCATATAAAACATCAACTTCCATAGTTGTCAGAAGAAATTACGGTAAAAGAATTTGCTATGGTTCTACCGAAAACAAAAATGTCTAGTAATATTAAAACTGACAAGGATAAAGGGAGATAGAACTGTTTACTTTTTTCAGAGAACAATTTAGACAACCACTTAGGAGAATAATATGCCTAAACTAGTAAAAAAGATGCCCTTCAAAAAATGCTGCCAAGATCTGTCATGTAAGGGTATGAGATTCCAATGATAAATGTAACTGTACTGTAGACTTAAAAAGTACCAATAAACTCAATAAGATTTTTAAAAATGCAACCATTTTAATTCCAGATGTCGAAGTTTACAAAAGTCAAATATGTGAACAAGGAGACATTTACAAGGATGCAGCACTAATTAAAAAAATAATGAATATAATCAATCATCAGTGGACTGAGAAAAGGCAGCTTATTCAAAGTAGTGAAAATGCATTACTATTTCACACAAAGAAGGAAACAGACGTGCAACTCCTTGATTTTATACAAGTAAATCTGATTTGAACTTGTGATCTGCAGGAATCTAAGAGCATAAATTTGTGCCAATAAGTTAATGGTAATTTTTTCCACATATTTTCATAGATAAGGATTAAAAACTACAATAATGACTGTAAGAAACAAATATCAGAATGATACATGCTGCATGTCACTGTTTCTGAGAAGTCTCAACATGAAAAAAATATTGTTTTGTAATGTATATGCATAAAAATACAATTTGAAAAGCCCTGTAGGAGATCTTCCTAATCTTCCTCTTTGGAAAGTAAGAAGAAACAGGGTGACTATTTTTAACTCTGCAAAGACTGAGAGGGAGAAAAGAGGAGAACAGCAAAGGGCAGGAGAGGGGAAAAGTGAAGGGAAAGAAAGGGAAGGGGAGGAGGGGAGGGAAAAAAGGAGGGGAGAAGGCATTAGAGGAGAGAAGAGAGAAGTCTGCAGAGCTACAGCAAAATTAAATTCTATGGGGAAATAGTTTACCTTGCTTATTAATTACAGCATGTGCATCTTATACCATGGAGTCAGCATGTAGGCCCAGATACTCTCTAGACTGAAATGGGAAGACTACTTGAAACCAAGGTTCAAAGCCAGCCTGGGCAACAGAATGAGGCTCCAACTCAGAAACACTAAACAAAAGCAAACTAAAATGCTTTAGTTCAACTGAAACACTCAACTCAGAAGCTCCCTTCCTCTTTCTTTAATCTATGGTTTTTCTGTACACACAAAGACAAAGTGAAAAAAGAAAATTGGTTCAATTGGCTCTTACAATAGGAGATGTGCCACAAGCAGTCAGTATATTTATGCCCTCTGAACCTAAACGAAGAGGTAGAGAAGTTGGTAAGAGACTTACAGTATATCTTGCAGTAGTATCTTGGAGTCGCATTCATTTAACATAAATAGTACAAGGATAAAAAATATACAAGGGTAAAAATGGATTGGAGGTCAGCATCTGACCAGACTCCTGTCAAGAATGCAGAAGGGAAGCAGGAGCTGGAAGATCAGGGAACTTCAGCAGTGATCCTAAGGTTTTGAAGAGAAAGTGTGTTTTAGATTTTATAAAGGAGCCAGAGAAAATCTGAAGGCAATTTTCCATGAAATGATTCAATTTTTCCATTTGGGTTTCTTCATAGGGCAGTCAAACAAAAATAGGGGTTCAAGAATTTGATATAAACTCCTGATTCAGATGAATA